TATCTATCTATCTATCTATCTATCTATCTATCTATCTATCTATCTATACACACACACACACATATATATATATGACTCCAGTGAATAATGACTATATCTGGGTGACCCTAAGCTATCTCTCAAGTTATCTTGCTTCAAAGGCATCTTGCAGGGATAATTGAGGAGGGCAGATCTAGCAGACCTTGTATAAATTCCTAATCACCTAAATGGTGGAGAGAAATAGGAAAACAAATGCCTACGATTGCTTTAAAGAGTAGGTGAAGTCAAATACTTTGGAAAAAAATCCCTTATAAAAGGTCTGGATTTAAGACAGAATTTCTTGACACAGTGAAAATTGCCTAAGCAAATGGAAACTAACTTTTTTACAAAAAAATCTAGAAGGTATAAGTGTTCCTAATGAGAACCATGCACTGATGGAACTGAACATGAAATTCTTTGAAAGCTTTTTCTAGATGGGTTTTACAACTATTGGGGAATTTAGGGAAATATTTTAGGTTGAAGTTTCTATTACAATTCTAAGCACAAAAGGCTTTTCTTCATACTCTTTTCAATTTCCAGCAAATTTTCTTCTCTCACAAAAAAGGCTTTGGTTTTTCTAAAGTTGTTTTAGAATCTCGTAAAATGTGTCTTCTCTGTGATTCTTTCCAGACTCTTTGCATTTTTCTCTGTTGCTTCTCTTTTTTCTCTTATGCATGTCAAAGCTCTTTTGGGCAACTAAAATCCAAAGCAGCCCTACAATCTGGGGCATTTTAGAGCTTGTTGGCTGTATCCTAAAAGGAATTACGTTATGTTTGCTTGATTCAAAACAGTGTATGATGCATTTATTTAGTAGATTATAAGAAAAAAGAAACAAAAGTTGGAAGACTGAGAGAAAGAAAAAGAAAAGTGTAAAGAAAAAAGGGGGAGGAAGGATCTCTGTTTTTTTTCAGTGCATTGAAATACAAAAATAAAAACTGCAACCTCAGATTTTTGCTTTATGTTTCATATCATTTAAAACTTCTATAGTAACAGAATTATTTGAATCATCAAAATCTAAAAGCAGTTCCATTTTTTTCCGTTTCAAGCAAAAAGTCTAGAAGTTTCCGGGTAGAAACAAAACTAGATAAATTCTGTAATTAATCTCTGCTAATTCCATCAATTTTATCATCCAGGCTTCCATTGTGGGAATGAATGTGTCTTTCCTTCTTTGTATATTTAAGATTCTCACTGCTGTCA